CTTTATGGGTTGCTAGAGGTTGCCTAAACTGTGGCTGATTGACCTCCCATCTGATGGTGTCTACATAGTTCTGGGGCCCTCCAGAGGTGGCTAGAGGCTCCTTAGACTTTGGCTGATTGACCTCCCATCTGAAGGTGCCTGTATGGTTCTGGGGTCCTTCGGAGGTTGCTAGGGGTTCCTGAAACTGTGACTGACTGGTCTCTTATCTGATGGTACCTACATGGTTCTGGGGTGCGTCTGGAGGTTACTAGAGGTTCCTATAAACTGTGGCTGATTGACCTCCCATCTGATAGTAGCGGCATGGTTCAGGCACCATCAAGGGTTTCTTAAACTGCATTTTTCAACTTCCATCTGATGGTATCTACATGGTTCTGAGGTGCCTCCAGAGGTTGATAGAGGGCCCTTAAACTGTGGATGATTGACCTCCCATCTGATGGTACCTGCATGGTTCAGGCACCCTCCAGAGGTTGCCAGGTGTTCCTTAAACTGTGGCTTGTTGAACTCCCATCTTACTACCCTTATATTACGCCATAGTAAAGTTTGTAAAACAAAAAAGGGTACTTTGATTGTGGAAGTTGAGGATAGTTACACATTATAAGAACTTGTAAAGTATAAAAACGTTTGTTTTATTACTTCCAAACTAAAAGTAATGCAATAAAATGTATTCTTTAAAAAAAAAAAAAAACAAACCATCCAAATGGAGGATATTTACATACAGAATGTAGAATATATGAAGATTACCCAAAGGTTGTGCTATATAGTATATAACCCAAACAATACAACAGTACCGTGGGGCCCTTGATGACATGTTTTCCAGTCTTCCACTTCCTCAGGACTGGGCTTTCATCTCCCATACATATGTAACACACAGTAGATCAGCCATTCTCAAACAAGGTTCCATAGAACCCAAAAGGTTCCTCCAGATTTTGCTGGGGGTTCTGTAAACTGTGGCAGATTGATCTCCTATCTGATGGTGCCTGCACGTTTCTGGGGCCAATGCCACTTGGCCAAGCCAGAGGCATTTTGATCACTACTGTAAGGGGAGGGGGGGCATTCTTCCCACTAGTTTGCAGTGAAGAAAAAGTCCAATCGAGGGCTCAAACAGCAGAGCCACCTTTTGTGATATGTATTATTGTTTCTTTAGAGAAGGGTCGAAGTAATTGGATTTTGATGAAGATCAGGTTTATTGATTACAGCAAAGATGCGTTTCATGGCTAAACTTTGACAAATAAACCTGATGTTCATCCAAATGGGGGCCCCTGTCACAGCATTTCATGGTCTTCTGCTTTCTTGGGACCAGGCTTTCATTTTCCCTACATATGTAACACACAGTAGATCATTAGTTTCAGAATCCGGTGGTAAGTGGAGCAAAATACTTACTTTATATATGTATAATTTTCCCTGAAGCCTTTCTCAACCTCTTTACTCCAGAGGAACATTTGAAATTATTTTCAGGTCTCAGGGAACCCCTGCTAAAATGAATTAATTGGGGGGGGGGGGGTCAATGGGGAAAATGCCCCTTTCATTGGTATCTAGTGGGAAAATGCCTGGCTTTTCCAAGTGGCATTGGCTAGAACCATGTAGGAACTAACAGATGGGAGTTCAAAAAGCCACAGTTTAAGGAACTCTTGCAAACTCTGGATTGTGCCTGAACCATGGCGCTACTATCAGCTGGGAGGTCAATCAGCCATAGTTTAAGGAACATCTAGCAACCTCTAGAAGCACCTCAGAACCACACAGGCACCTTCAGATGATAGGTCAATCAGGCATAGTTTAAGAACCCCCTAGCAACCTCTGGAGGGCCCTAAAACTATGCAGGCACCATCAAATGGAAGGTCAATCAGCCACAGATTAAGGTACCTCTGGAAGGTGCCTGAACCATGCAGTTACTATCAGATGGGAGGTCAATCAGACACAGTTTAAGGGCCCCCTAGCAACTTCTGGAAGGTGCCTGATCCATGCAGGCTGGGCCGGACTAACCATTTGGAAACTCGGGCACTGCCCGAGGGCCCAGGGTCAGTAGGGGGCCCCATGAGATGCCCCTGGTACCTTTTTCATAGGCTTTTTTGAGTGTGGGCAAGGAAACAGGGGCCCCATGATCCCCTTTTTCCCGGGGGGCCCCATGAGTTGTCAGTCCGCCCGTGCATGCAGATACTATTGGATGGGAGGTCAATAAGACACAGTTTAAGGGCCACCTAGCAACCTCTGGAGGTACCCCAGAACCAAGTAGGCATCATCATATGGGAGTTCAAAAAGCCACAGTTTAAAAGGAACCCCTAGCAACCTTCGGAAGCACCCCAGAACCATACAGGCACCATCAGATGGAAGGTCAATCAGCCACAGATTAAGGAACCCCTAGCTACCTCTGGAAGGTGCCTGAGTCATGCAGCTACTATCGGACGGGAGGTCAATCGGCCACAATTTAGTGGCCCCCTAGCAACCACCGGAGGTATCCCAGAACCATGTACGCACCATAAGATGGGAATTAAAAAAGCCACAGTTTAAGTAACCTCTATCAAACTCTGGAGGGTGCCTGAACCATGACACTGCTATTAGAAGGGAGGTCAATCAACTGATTAAGAAACCCCTTAAGATCTGAAGGAAGACCAGGAAACGTGCTGCCAAGGACTCCACAGTACCCTGACCGATATGCCATGTAACGTAACCTTTGGGTAATCCCCAGATATTTAATATACTGCATGTTACTATCCTTTTTTTTTTCTAAGAATACAGATTACGTTATTGAGTTCCTTTCAGCGTGCCAATAATAAAACAAGCGTTTTTATTCCTTACAAGTTCTCATGATGTGCACTGTCCTTGATTTTCATAAAGTCCTTTCTTTTTTGTTTCACAAAAACGTTGCTATGGCATACGGATTGAGGGATGGTGAAAATTTAGGAGGATGATTCATGTCTGGATGTTTTATTCTGCTTTCCATTTTTTATATAAATATATATATATACACACACACATATATTATTATTTTTTTTCTCAATCAGTACATGTGTGTATTTATATATATATATATATATATATATATAGATAGATATATATATACACTGTATATATATAAAAATAAATTAAATTAGGTATGTACATTTTATACATCCAGACTTCAAATTTATTTTTATATATATATATATATATATATATTTAAAAATACATTTGAAGTCTGGATGTATAAAACGTATATATACCTAATTTAATTAAATTTTTTTTGTTTCAAAATAAATTTTACATATGACTGTATAAAAACACATGTACTATATCTGCGTATATATATATATATATATATATATATATATATATATATATATAGATATATATATATATAGATATAGATATATATATATATATATATATATATATATATAGATATATATAGATATATATAGATATATATAGATATATATATAGATATATATAGATATATATAGATATATATAGAGAGAGAGAGAGTTTCAAAATAAATTTTAAATATGAATATATAAAAACATATTTTATATTTTAAAATTATACTTCTATTATTAAAAAAAAATGAAAAATGTTTATAGAATATGTATGTATATATATATATATTTTTTTTTTTTTTTTTTTTTTTTTCAATCAGTACATGTTGGTGTGGCAGAGGCATAAATGTGAAGAAGCAACAGCATAACCAATCCCCCTCATTATCCAAAATCCATCCAGGAAGTAAGCAGAGCAAAATTTAGGTGAATAAAATGAGCATTTTGCTCTACTTACCTCTAGATGTATTTTGAATACAAAGTTTCTATTGTGTGAGTTACATGCCGGTCGTAAGAGGTTATTCATTTAATTAACGTGCCATGATATACAGCAACAATATTTTTTTTTTTAAAGAAAAGCTCCACCTTGAGCTCATGTCCTTTGCCGAGATGATGTCATCAGTCTGCTGCAGGCAGGAAGAAGCATTTCCTCAGTCTCCTCTACAGTGATCAGACTAACAATTGTTTACTATTTAGCAAGTCACAAAGTGAGAGGTTATTATTATTATTATTATAATTCAGGATTTATATAAAGCCAACAGTTTGCGCAGCGCTTTACAAAATGTTGCAGCAGGGACTGATCTGCGTCAGACTTTTGCGCAGACTCCACAATTTCCATGACTGCGTCATCTCTTGAGCCGGCATCTTGGGTCCCATTCGCAGCCCCTTTGATGCTTTGATCTCTAAGAGGTTATAACTACCTGAAGCGTTACACATAACCTAGCAAGCATGCGCTCATTATAAAACATATATCTGATTCTAGGTCTGCGCAAAAAAAAAAATAAAAAATCTGGAGTGGGTAACTGATTTCAGATCCATCAGGTATAATGCATGCAAGAATCTGAAAAGTGAAGATAAAAAAAAAGGATATAAATCCCAGGTGGAGGTCATTATAACTTTGGAGACTCGTGTTCCTCGTCTGGCAGACGTGTCGGTTTAATTTAGGAAAATGTTTTGTTTTTTTTTCCACATTAAAGGTTTTCTCTTCGCTGCACAAAATGTCACCCTGCTCCTCGGGTTCTTCGTTTTTTTACGCTCTGAACAGAATTCAGAGTTTGAAGTCAGGATGAGCAAACTGTGAAGGTGAAAAGTTCATTCTTAAATCCGACTTCAGAAAAAAAAAAAGAAATATTCCTAACTCAGCGAGTTGGCTACAGGCGGGATTCTTCTTCACGTGTAAAAATAGCGCTTTCTGTACGGATTAGAGAGAAGAATTGGCTTTATAGAGGAGGGCGAGCCTTTCATATAGATGTACAGGAGACGAGATCGGGGGGCTCCGAGCATTGCGCTACAAGGGGCACATTGTAGATTTTACAAATACTCCCAGGCCAAAAAAAGTTTTCATAAATGAATAGATTCCATGTAAATGAATGAATGTTCTATTCGGAGTATTTATGTCATCAGCGGGAAAGGATTCAGAACAGAGAAAAAACTTCAGTAACACAAAGCAAAGGAATTCCAAATATAACCGAGCCATTAATAAAAGTCAAAGAAAAATACATTCAGATCAGACTCCCTCCTTTCATCAGGGCCCCCGTGAGAGCCCACCGCTTCATCAGACTCCATCCTTGCATCAGGGCCCCCGTGAGAGCCCACCGCTTCATCAGACTCCATCCTTGCATCAGGGCCCCGTGAGAGCCCACTGCTTCATCAGGATTCCCTCCTTTCATCAGGGCCCCCATGAGAGCCCATCACATCATCAGACTCCCTCCTTACATCAGAGCCCCCATGAGAGCCCATCATTTCATCAGACTCCCTCCTTACATCAGGGCCCCCATGAGAGCCCACTGCTATATTCACTATATCCGCTCTCCCCCGGACCCCGCATTCACTATATCCGCTCTCCCCGGACCCCGCATTCACTATATCCGCTCGCCAAGGACCCCGCATTCACTATATCCGCTCTCCCCCAGACCCCGCATTCACTATATCCTCTCTCTCCCGGACCCGGCATTCACTATATCCGCTCTCCCCGGACCCCGCATTTACTATATCCACTCTCCCCGGACCCCGCATTCACTATATCCGCTCTCCCCGAACCCTGCATTTACTATATCATTTCTCCCCGGACCCCGCATTCACTATATCCGCTCTCCCCGGACCCCGCATTCACTATATCCTCTCTTCCCGGACCCCGCATTCACTATATCCTCTCTCCCCGGACCCCGCATTCACTATATCCTCTCTCCCCGGACCCCGCATTCACTATATCCGCTCTCCCCGGACCCCGCATTCACTATATCCGCTCTCCCCGGACCCCGCATTCACTATATCCACTCTCCCCGGACCCCGCATTCACTATATCCTCTCTCCCCGGACCCGGCATTCACTATATCCGCTCTCCCCGGACCCCGCATTTACTATATCCACTCTCCCCGGACCCCGCATTCACTATATCCGCTCTCCCCGAACCCTGCATTCCCTATATCCGCTCTCCCCGGACCCCGCATTTACTATATCATTTCTCCCCCCGGACCCCGCATTCACTATATCCGCTCTCCCCGGACCCCGCATTCACTATATCCTCTCTCCCCGGACCCCGCATTCACTATATCCTCTCTCCCCGGACCCCGCATTCACTATATCCTCTCTCCACGGACCCCGCATTCACTATATCCGCTCTCCCCGGACCCCGCATTCACTATATCCGCTCTCCCCGGACCACGCATTCACTATATCCGCTCTCCCCGGACCACGCATTCACTATATCCGCTCTCCATTTAGCCAGAGAGCACATGTTCATTGCCAAGGCTTGGACCACAGAAAGATACTTTGGAAGACAGGGCCTTGAAAAAGTCTCCCCCCCCCCCTAAAATGCCCTCCATGCTGTCATGTTCCAATGTATCCCCCCCCCCCATGTTGTCATGTTCCAATGTATCCCCCCCCCCATGTTGTCATGTTCCAATGTATCCCCCCCCCCATGTTGTCATGTTCCAATGTATCCCCCCCCCCCATGTTGTCATGTTCCAATGTATCCCCCCCCCCCATGTTGTCATGTTACAATGTATTTATTGGGATTGGATGTGATGGACCGACACAAAGTGGCAAATAATTGTAAAGTGGAAGGAAAATGAGAAATGGTTTCCAACATTTGTGACCAATAAATCTGTGAAAAGTGTGGCGGCATTTGTATTCAACCCCCCGGAGTCAATACTTTGTAGGACCCCCTTTGGCTACAATTCCAGCGGCAAGTCTTTTTGGGGATGTCTCTTTCACATCTAGAGAGGGACATTTCTGCCCATTCTTCTTTGCAGAATCCCTCAAGCTCTGTCAGATTGGATAGAGAGCGTCTGGAAACAGCAATTTTCAGGTCTGGCCACAGATTCTCCATTGGATTTGGGTCTGGACTGTGACTGGGCCATTCTAACACATGAAGATGCTTTGATCTAAACCCTTCCGTTGTAGCTCTGGCTGGATGTTTCGGGTGGTTGTCCTGCTGGAAGGGGAACCTCCGCCCCGGACTCAAGTCTTTTACAGACTCTAACAGGTTTTCTTCTAAGCTTGCCCTGTATTTGGCTCCATCCAGAGGAGAAACCAGGAGAGAGCAGAGTCACGGAGGCCGATGAAGTGGAGTTTACTGAGGAGGAGCGGGTGGTCGACTGTGTCAAAGGCAGCGGAAAGGTCAAGGAGTATGAGTACGGAGTAATGGCCGTTGGTTGGGATGAGTATGGAGTAATGGCCGTTGGTTGGGATGAGTACGGAGTAATGGCCGTTGGTTGGGATGAGTACGGAGTAAATGGCCGTTGGTTGGGATGAGTACGGAGTAATGGCCGTTGGTCAGGATGAGTACGGAGTAATGGCCGTTGGTTGGGATGAGTACGGAGTAATGGCCGTTGGTTGGGATGAGTACGGAGTAATGGCCGTTGGTTGGGATGAGTACGGAGTAATGGGCCGTTGGTCAGGATGAGTACGGAGTAATGGCCGTTGGTCGGGATGAGTATGGAGTAATGGCCGTTGGTTGGGATGAGTACGGAGTAATGGTCGTTGGTTGGGATGAGTACGGAGTAATGGCCGTTGGTCAGGATGAGTATGGAGTAGTGGCCGTTGGTTTTAGCAGTTAGTAGGTCATTAGTGAGTTTTAGTAGGGCAGTTTCTGTGGAATGTTGTGGGCGGAAGCCAGACTGTCGGGGATCAAGAAGGTTGTTGTCGGTGAGGTAGCAGTTCATACGGTTGTGAACAAGAAGCTCGAGAAGCTTGGAGGCAAACAGGAGCAGGGAGATGGGTCTTAAGTTATTCAAACTGGTGGGGTCCAGCGAGGGTTTTGGGGGTATGGGGGTAACCAGTGCATGTTTGAGAGGGAAGGGAAAGGTGCCCATGGAGAGTGAGAGGTTGAATATGTGGGTTTGAGAGTTTAGGATAGAGCAGGAAGGAGGCTGCAACAGTCGTGAGGGGACAGGATACAGGGGACAGGTGGTGAAGTGAGCCTTGGAAAGGGGTTCGGTAACCTCCTCGGTGGTAACAGGGTTGAAGGAGGAGAGGGTTGAGTTTGGTGTTGGGCCTGGTATGTTGGTTAGAGGAGGAAGCTTGACACTGGAGATCTCATCACGAATTGTGTCCACCTTCTTCTTGAAATGACTGGCAGTCTCCTGTGCAGTAAGTTGGTGGGTGGAGGCAATGGGGGTGGAGTAAGGAATTAAGGGTAGAGAAGAGTTGACGAGGATTGGATGAGAGGGTCTTGATGAGAGTGTTGTAGTAGGTTTGCTTAGCAGCGTGGAGGCTGGAGTTGTATTTGAGAAGAATGGATTTGTAGAGGCTAAAGTTTTTCAGGGATTTAGTTTTACGCAGAGGTGGACTGACAACTCATGGGGCCCCTGGGCAATAGGGGATCATGGGGCCCCTGTGTCCTTGCCCAAACTCAAAAAAGCCTATGAAAAAGGTACCAGGGGCATCTCATGGGGCCCCCTACTGACCCCGGGCTCTCGGGCAGTGCCCGAGTTTCCAAATGGTCAGTGTGCCCCTGGTTTTATGTCATGCTCGCGCAAGAGTGCGGCTGCCTCTCTTGAGACTTCTGGTGTCACCTGTTTGCCAGAGTTGTAACAGGCGAGGCCGGGTTCTGCGTGTAGAAAGAGGAGCAAGAGCGTCCAGGGAGGATGATAGATGGTTGTTGTAGGCAGATGTGGCCAGCTCTGGGCAGGACAGGGGTGAAATTTCATCATAGAGGCGCTCAGTAGCGGAGTGGAGAAGGTCAGGGCTGAGGTGATGGAGGTTTCTACAGGAAACGGTTTGCTGGTTGGAGGCATGGGAGGTAGGAGGCATGGGAGGTAGGAGGCATGGGAGGTAGGAGGCAGGGAGAGTGTGAAGCTGATAAAGTTGTGATCAGAGAGGAAAAGGGGTGTTAGAGAGGTTACAGGGAGTGCATAGGTGGGAGAATACAAGGTCAAGGGTGCTGCCATTGGAGTGGGTGGTGGATTGTGACCATTGTGTTAGGTTAACAGAGGAAGTTAGGTTGAGTAGTTGAGAGGAGGCAGGGGTGTGAACATTGACTGGGATGTTAAAGTCACCGAGGATGGAGGGCACCTCAGAGGAGAGAAAGTACGGTAGCCATGCTGAAAAGTCATCAAGAAAGTGTGAAGCTGGGCCTGGGGGCCGGTAGATGACTGCGATCCTCAGACAAACAGGAGAAAAGAGATGAATACAGTGCACTTCAAAGAGTGGAGGGACAGAGACGGAGGGGCAGAAAGAACCCAGAACCCAGAACGTGCTTTGTGAGGAAATGTCCTCTGAGGGCTTCACAAAACAGCTGTATTTATACTGAGATCACATGACACACAGCTGGACTCTATTTACTAATTAGGTGACTTCTGAAGGCAATTGGTTCCACTAGATTTTAGTTAGGGGTATCAGAGTAAAGAGGGCTGAATACAAATGCATGCCACTTTTCAGATATTTGTCAAGAATGTTGAAAACCATTTATCATTTTCCTTTCACTTCACAATGATGTCCCAATAAAATACATTGGCAGTTTTGGTTGTCACATGACAACATGGGAATATTTCAAGAGGGAGGAAGACTTTTTCCAGGCACTGTGTAACTATTTTTTAATTTATACTAAAAGAGTGGACTATTTCCACCTAACAATTCAAAATAAAGTTTCCTGCAAAACGCAGATTCCTGTGCCGGTTACGTTCGGCTTTTTGCTCCTGCAAATAACGCCTCTTATGGCCCATGATGATCGAACTTCGCCGGATGGCCATTATAATTGGACAAAACCACCATTACTCAGAGGAATGCTTGAACGTTCTTGTCTCTTGCTACATTGTTTTCTCTTGTTATATCATTGCGATGTATTTTGTAGAACTTGCAGCTTTGCCTTCCAGCCTGAAGATCATTTCTTGAAATGTTTTTTTTTTTATTTGCGGTAAATCCTTTCTCTGTTGCCGCAAAAATCCGGTACTGCAAAACAAAAGACCCGTGTTCCAGGTTTAATTTGTTCTCCCAGCGGTGGCTTTGGTTCTTCGAAATGACTTCTGTTTGAAATGTGTGATATTTGGAGTTACCGCAAGCCAATTAGCATTACATGGTGAGCTGGTGGGCTGATGTATAGCAAGTGCAAGATAGACAACCCAAGTCTGCCCTCTAACGTCTGAGTCTGGTATTACACCACAAAGCTTGTAATATACAAATGTAACCTCCCCCCCAAAAAAAATAAATAAATACAGGCCATCGCTTACAAAGAGCAAATATTGGACTAAATAAATCCTAATTTATAGGTTTGCCTATTTAACCACTTGCTGACCTCAGTATAAAGAAAGGAAAGGAGGGAAGGAAAGAAAGAAAGAAAGAAAGATAGATGGAAGGAAGATGGAAGGAAAGAAGGAAGATGGAAGGAAGGAAAGATGGAAAGAATGAAAGGAAGGAAGGAAAGATGGAAGGAAGGAAGGAAGGAAAGATGGAAGGAAGGAAAGAAAGATAGGAAGGAAGGAAAGATGGAAGGAAGGAAAGATGGATGGAAGGAAAGATGGAAGGAAAGAAGGAAGATGGAAGGAAGGAAAGAAAGGAAGGAAAGATGGAAGGAAAGATGGAAGGAAGGAAAGAAAGGAAGGAAAGATGGAAGGAAGGAAAGAAAGGAAGGAAAGATGGAAGGAAGGAAAGAAAGAAAGATAGAAGGAAGAAAGGAAGGAAGGAAGGAAGCAGGACCCCCTCCCCCGTTGTCTCCACCCCCCTACCTACCTCTAAGCGCCTTCACTTGGTTGCACCCCCACCCACCTCTCAGTACTGAGCCTTTTAGAGAATACAGAGCCAAGTATCATTTCGTGGTGCTAAATAATTTGTATGGAATTTTTTAACAATAACATGAAAAGCAGAAAAATAGA